ACTTTGATAAAAACAAATAGCAATGAGAGAGCTTCAAAACAAGTTGGTAGGACAGTTTCAATAATTAACATATTGCATATTGTTGTATTGATACTTTTTATTCACAGTACAAAGTGGAGACATGATATCCTGCCCAAATAATGCTAGTACAAATTTTTCTTCTCATTGAATTAAGAGAAAGAAGCTGTGAATCTATCCTATTTTGTATATACAGATACAAAATGGAGATTTAAATTTCAGCTTTCAACAATTGTTGGAAAATACCTGTTTCATGTTATGGCTAAGGCACTTGACATTCTGACAGAGTGAGATTAAGTCTAAAGGCATATGCTATAGGGTAATAATATCATTAAGCTTCTCTTCTGGAGGGATAAAAACTTAAGTTTGCAGACCAAAAAATTGGAGAAATAGAAGGGCTACAAGTATATCCAACATTTTGCTTCTAGTTCTTCAAGGTCAGTGAGGACTCACGATATAGGAGAACTTGTACTATAACATCCTGTTACTCAATGATGTCACACATTTTCTGTTCAAAGAGATTATGGGGCCACAGAGTAATGTGATTGACATTGCAGAGTATATCTATGGAGAGTCACCTGGAGAGACAACATTTACTCAGGCCTTCAGAGAGAGCAAATTGTTCAAGGGATGGTCTTGACTCATCCAGATGGCTATCAATAACAAAAGATCTACACTCTGCTGTGCATTGTCAGGGAAAATCCTGAGGGTATTTGATAGATGTTGTCAGATATAAAAGTTACACTTTTTGTTTTGCAGATCTTGCTTTATCTTGGTCTTAACCATCCAGCAGAAAAGTATGAAAAAGAGGTTTAATAATTATAGCCATATTAATATGCTGAGGTGTAAATAGCTCAAGTCAAGAACTTCTGACATGCCAGTCCTGCATATAAGCCACTATTATCATGGTGTAATGGACTATATTGGATTATTTTGTTGAATTCAGGCACCTACAATATATGAATGGCCATGGAATACCCATCTCTGACAAAAATAACAAGTGAATACAAATGAAGGACAATTTTGTAGTAAATATGTATATATACATATATATATATATATATATATATATATATATATATATATATATATATATATATATATATATATATACAAAACAGAATAGATATACTGCTACTTTTTCTTAATTCAATGAAAAGAAAGATTTGCACCAATAGTATTTAGAAAGGAAAATGTCTGCATATTGTACTATGAATAAATACTATGAAGACAACCATATGTAATTTATTATTTATTGTATCAGTGCTACTGACCTGTTTTGATAGTGTCTCATTGCTATTACTTTCTCAATAAAATTAATTTTAAAAAGAATTGCTTTGTTCCATTTAAAGTTATAGTTAATGGTGCTTACAAAAGTACATCTGCTACATACCTTGAGTTCCTATAGGCCCACATCTTGGCAAAACTTTACAGCTTTTAACCCCATAGGTTAGTTCTCAACTTGGCTAAAATTTGGTCCCCTTTGTGTATAAAATTTCCTATGCAAAAGAGTCTTTTTGGCATCTTTCAGGCACTCTCAGGTTGATTTGCCTGAGAGCCTTTTGCTTGTATTTTACAATAAATGCTCTTTTCTGCTCTTGTACAATAAATTTGCTCTGGCCTCTTCAGGGAAAAAAAACTGCAGGAAGCATGTGTCCACTAACCTGGCAGGGTGGCCCATGGCAGAGGGCAGCAGTTCATGGTTGTGTAAAACAGCAAAAGCAGCAAGAGCAAAAGGATGAGGAGCTGGACATGCCCACAGTTCTTAGAGAAAGGATCCAGAGTAGGCTTACAGGATGACCAGGGGAATTATTATATTAAGAGGACATGTCCTGCAGCAAGACAGGTTCAGTGCACAAAAAGAATGGCCTGAATGAACCTCAGAAGAGAGAGGTCAGTGCTGCTGAAATAGCTGCAACAGGCCTATGATTGGCCCAAATTTGATCCTGCTGGTTGGTTGAAAGTAAGGTCTATGTTTGGTCCAGATTTGATCAAGATAACTGGTATGAATTCAAGCTGACAATCGTCACATATCCATCCTGTGATTAGTCCAAATTCAGACCTGCTGATTGGTCCAAATTGGTCCACATTCAAGACCCTGATCTGAGAATAGTGATCTGTTCCAATTCTGTTTTGCTGGTACGTTCCCATTTGAGACTAATGTGATCAGAGTAGGTACCTCCTGGACTCCTGTAGCCCATCTACATTCATGGTAACTGTCATGGTGGCGTTTCAAGGTTAGGTTACAGGTAGATGTTCATGCTAGTTGATAGCTGCCTTGTCTCAACAAGAATGTCCCAGCCAAAGCTGTGCAACATGCAGGAAGGCTAGCTGTGACTTCAACTTAATGAGGACTGGATAAAACGGACCTGTGTCCTCATTGATCCCTTCTGCACTAGGGATGGCTGCCAGGCCACCTCTTCAGAGGTAGTGGCAGCATCTGTGTTTAAGGGAGTAGAAGAATGGTACTGAGGGTGACAGAGTGCAGCTATGAAGTAAGCTTAGAGTTGACAATGGTACACAGAGGCAGGATGTCTCTGTCTACCCATGAGGAACTGGACGAAAGAAAGAGAAACAAGGGGGAGTGGGAAGACAGCTATTGGCCACCCACTTTCCTGGCCATCACAGTTGGAAAGGGAGAGTCAGGGGCTTCTTCTTTCTCTGAGTGCTGTCTGCTCTAACACTGGGCACCTGAATGAGCACCAGTGGGCATGGCTACCACAGGGAGTCTGGATAGAAGCCTGCTGAACTATAGTTCCCTGCCACTGTGTTCTGACCCCTTTGTGTGAAATCAAGACTGGACACTTCTGAGGATACTTAAGTCTCCCAGGAGGTGCGGTCTGTAAATTCCCCTGCCCTCTGTGTCCCTTCCCGTACCGAGGTCTTAGCCTCCCTCTCCTAACTCTGCCTCACTGACATAACCTGATTCAGTTGTTCTCCTATCCCTTCTTTTCTGACTGCTTTTGTCCTCTGTACAGGGCCTCACCATATCTGTCCATGCCTATCTGTCTTGTTCCTCCTATTATTCACTAAGGATCTGGGTATTTCCCTCTCATACCCTACCTTCGATTTTCCAATGTGACGTTATTTTTCCTCCAGAAAACTTTTCCTCCCTTTCCAATATGCTTCGGAACTTTTTGACTCCCTGTGTATGATCCCGCAGGCCCAGGTAAGAGCATCATTTCCTGTGGCTTATTATGCTCTATGGTCTGATGTTGAGCAAAGAGAGGAGAATGGAAGGTATTGGCATTGCGTGCTTCCTAATCTCCCAAAGGATGATCTTTCCTTACTCTGCACAAAGCCACCATGAAGTCCAAAGCTCCACTTCTGAAACCCACGCACTTTAACACTGCTGGTTGGCATCACATATGTGTTTGCAGATGTGTGTGCATGGATACTGGATATCTGTTAATGTGTGCATTCTAATGTGTATTCTTTTGTGCCAGGAGATCCTACTTTTTTATTTTGAACTGTTTTAAGTCTTACACTTCTGTCTCTTTCAGAACCACATTTCCAGATCACTAATTTCTTTGTGATATGTGATTGCAACAGAAATGATTACAGGCCCATGTGACCTGTTCAGTCCAAACTCAGGTGCAGTGTGATTGAGACCCTCTTCTGTGCCATTGAGACCCCCACCACTACTTAGCATTCTCCTCATGCCCACTGAGTGAGGATTTCTGCCGCATTCTTACAACCCCCAGATCCAGCCCTAGCCAGGCCCAGTGAGTGTGTGGGAGATATTCCCCTCTCTCCTACTCGCCTTTTTCCCCTTCAGACTCAGCTCAGGCCTGGCATAAAGGCCTGGAGTGAAACTCTGCAGCTGTATTCCCTGCAGAGAGAGTAGGGGACAGAACCACCGAGCTAATCCATGAGCAGAACATCTTGCCAGAGGAGCACAACAGGTTCACTCCCAAGGGCTGCAGCAGGAATGAGCTGAGCACAGCAGCCATACCCAAGCCAGGCACAACTGGATAAATTCAAACTTTGTAGATCTGCACCTGAATTTCAGTAGGTGGTAAAGTTATAACTGCCCCAAAGCTCTACAAGAAAGGTCAGAAGACAGTGCTATAGAAGTGATTACATTTTCTTGTGAAGTGGGGACCTGTGTATGGGGAGGGGGTATTGTGTGATTTTTGTTTTACTTTTTTCTTCTTTCTCTTCCTTTATTCTACTTTCTTTCCCCATCTATATTTTCTAAAATCTCTCATTCACTGTCATGATAATAGTTTGTGTTTCAGCTATAACCTTTCTCTTTTCAACTCATTCTACTTCTTTTAAATAACACTTAAGTAAATATTTTAGTATGTCGTAACTGTGAATGGTTCATTTTGAACACTGCATGTTCTTGCTTTGTTTCTTCTTGCCTGACACACCTTTGTGAAGACAGTTATCATTCTTTAATTTTTTTCCTAATTTTTCATCAGTTCTGCTACCTCTAGCACAGTGTCTCCCACTTGCCTCTTTTGCACTGCATCCATTTCCCTGATCTGAAACAGCTCATGCCTGCAGTTCATGTCTACCACTGTGCTAGCTTTTGGTGCCTTAACCAATGTAATGAGTTGTTAGTTAATCTAACCCTGGATTCTCGGTTGTCCTGGTGAGTTTGGTAGATGACACACATACATTGCTCTGCCCTGGTCCCTGAAGCATCACTTCAGATATTCTGAATTATACAACTTCAATCACTGAACCTATCGCTGAGCAGCAGTTCTGAGAAGTAAATAGGAGTAAGTATCTTGGTATTCCCACCATGTAGCCGATGTCCCAGGAAAACAAAGATGTCACAACATCTTAAAATAAATAATACTACACACTTCAAAATTTGTTTGAATCTTAATAAAACTAAACAAAAGGCACATGTCATCTCAATACATTGGAATAGAAGACTAAAAATAATTCAATAGCTGCTGATGACAGATGGAGCCTAAGGAAATATTCAGAAGGTAGTGTGGGACACTTGCTTCCAATAGCGCTTATGGTTAGTTCTCCTGGATAGTTTTCTCTATCCACTTTGTGAATTTGCAGACATTGGTGTAGATGCTTGGGATTCCAGGTTGCCCGCAGGGAGGGAATCCCCAGGACACGATGCCCTGCAGAACGCCTTTGCAGACCAGGGGGCCTCCAGAGTCTCCCTGTTGCACAAAGAGAAGAGCAAGTTAGGGATGGTGGAGAGGATGAGGAATGGAGACACATAGAGAGACGGAAGCACAGAGTCTAATGCAGAGGGAGAGAGAAGAAAAAAGCAGCAAGTACTTTGAAGAGGGTACAATGTGAGCCTGAGACAGAAGCCAATGAGACAGACCCAGAAGACCCCAGTAGCACATGGTATGCATGAGGCAGAGATAATGGGAAGACAAACTGAGACCCTGGTGATTCACCAAGACAGTGAAAGCACAGGAACATGAGGGCCCAAGTGGAGGGTGATACTCTTAAAGCCCAAGGCATCATACCATTGCGCTGTAAGCATGCAGGGCCAGTCCTGCCTCTCAAACACCAGGTCTCCCTACCCGGCCTTGCCAAGGTTCCCTGAGGATCTCCACCCCCTGCTTGCATCTACTTTTTTAGTTCCAGCTGACATAACACGTGAGGGCCCACCTAGGTTGCCATGGACTTAGTGCTTGGTAGACACCAGAGTTCAATGTGCAACTGTCCTTGTCAGTAGGGTTGGGGATCCTACTCCTGGGGTTTTATCCTCATATCCATTCCCTCAACACCAGGATTCTATGTCTGTCTGTCTCCTCCCATCACTTCAGCTTTTTTTTTTGCCTTTCTCTGTGACTACTTCACAGTGTATCTCCTGTTTCCTTCCCACTCTCCCAGTTTCTCCTTTATGCTTCCCCTTGCAGCCACATATTTTTCTTGAAGCATCTCATGTTCCTCTCAGGCTTGAAAGTTTCCATTGATCCTTCATGGCTTTGTGCCCTCTTGGGTTTTACAGCCCTTTCTCCATTCTAAACATCTGCCCTTCTGTCCCAGTGTATTACCCCACAAGAATCTCTGATGCCATCTCCACCAGCGCAGATCATAGTACGGTGAAGCAAGTCTCCATACACTTTTTTGCAGACATTTTTCTTTCGAAATCGAACAATCACACACCTTAGTTTATCATTCTGTTGGACTGTAAGAAAGGATACACGGTCAGAAATACTCCTGAGAAGACAAAGTCACGAGTATCAGTGAATACAGAGACAGGAAAAACAAAACTCACAATCCAATAAGTTACCCCAGCCGGAGACCAAGCATTTCATTCCTGCTTTTGGACATTTAGAGGCGATGGGGATGGTCCGGACAGTGTCTGTTTGCACAACTGGTTTGCTCAACTTGATGAGCATGATATCATAGGGCTCTGAAGTCATGCTAAAATTTGGGTGTTGCACAGAGAAGTTAGCCTTAATCATCTGGATGCATGGTGAATACGGAGGGGAAATGCTTTCCAGGCCAAAACCAATGGTGAAGGATCTGAGGGAAATGTGACAATCAGTATCATAGTAAGCAAGCCATGTGTAGAAGCCCAAACACTCATAGAGGCCCATTTCCAATCCTCTCACTTTCAACATCTGTCTCATCACCACCATCTCTATTCCCAGCCTCCACTGTGACTAGACCCATCCCTGATGCCAGTTTCATCTCCTCTTGGACAGCATCCAAATTCCATCTCAATGCTTACTCCCAGTTTCCCCTCAAATCCTACCTATTATGATTAGAACAAAACAGCAATGCCTGAGGTGTAAATGAAGGGAGCTATTAATGCAGAAAACACAAGATGAATAGTAGCTTAATATAATAAAATTCAGAATTAATGCAAAAATATCCATGATAAAAAATCACAAATTGAAAGGAGGCAGCATTTGATGATGCACTTCTCCCAAACTGCCCAGCCCCAGGTCCTGTCATATATCTCATGCGTATATTGTATTCATCACAGATGTTTGCACTAACATTATTTTCTTTAAAGTACTACAAGAAGATATTTATTGCAATTAGAGAGTGTTTGCTTGTCTCATGCTATACCCTGCCATGCAGCTACATGCATAAACCACAGTCCACATTCACCTGGTTTTATCCTCATCTATCCCTCTCTCCTTGCCCCAAGCCCTGTATGCTCCAGTGACAAGAGATCCCTTGTCCAAGCCACCCACCTCCTCAGTGCTGAACTGAGGTCCAAGCCCACTTCTCTCACGCCATCTCCTCCTCTGCACTTTCATGCCTGGGTGAACCCCAGAAACCTGAGAGGTTTCTCTTCTGTCAGTCTGGAGTCTCTGCTTGTACTTCAGACCCAGTCAAGAGAGGTGAATGTTCCTCCAGCATGGGAACATAGCTCTCCCAGCCACCCCTGTCATTTGACTCAGCTCTATCCTTGCTCCTATTCTAGTTTTTCAAATTATAAGCCCTGACAAAGTCCAGAAGGGAGTAAGACTGACGCCCCAGGCAGAACCTCTGAGGTTGTGGAACCCCATTGTCAGTCCATACTCCATCATCTCAGCTCAGGTTCCAGCCTGGGTTTTTTTCCCACACTGCCCTTCAATCCCAGCATACATGGCATCCCCAAGTGAAGTTCCCCCGCTTCTGTTCCAGTGTGCGGCCCATCTGCCACTCATACAATCACCCTCCCCTGGGCTTGCTCACGGTCTCCAGCAGTGCGCAGCTGTCAGCACCCACTGGGGATGAATCAGAGCTCCGGAGCAATTCACAGTGTTGTTGTAGAACAGTGCTGCCTGCCAGGGCTGCGAGTCCGGAGAGCAAAGAACGCCACCAGAGATTTTTGCACTGACTGGGGGGAGCTCTTCTGAGACCTCACTGCTGGTTTCTTCAGAGGAATTCACAGATTCTGGGGGAAGGACTAGGACACAGTGTATCTTGTGAGTGGGTGGAGTCATGTGGGAGACTGAAGAAGATCCCATAGGGGTCCAGTGTTGCAGTGTGACTAGGGGCAGGTCATGTCAGAATGGCCAAGCATGGACAAGTCTGAGGCTCTGTCTCTTGGGGTCAAACAAGACAGTAACAAGACTGGAAACCTTCCTCATAGTTTAAGGCTTCACAGCTGTGTTCTACCACCCCAGTGACTTGAACCAGAGCAAAAACACACACACCCTTCCCCAGGACATGTCTCTGCACAAAAGAGAGTGTGGAGGCCATCACGCCTCTGATTCTGTCTTCTGGACAAGCAGAGTACACAGCAGGACACTGGACAGTCATTCCTGGTACATGTCATACCATGCTGGACCACCCTCCTCTCTGCACAGCCATCTTGTCCAGGGGCTCAGAATCAGGGAATCGAGCATGTGCCATAGTTGTTTGCCAACTTTGGCAGTTCACCCAGGCACAATGGTATTCCCATGCTAATTATAACTAATTTCTGGGCTCTGGCCCATGCTAGGTTAGCATAGGATATGAGTTTAGAGTATATTACCTAAGCTGCTTTCAGATTACTCTTTGAGATTGGGAAACCATGACAAAGAGACATTAGGGTTTTGCCCAGCTACGAGGTCACAGGTCTTGGCTCAGCATCCAATTACTGCATCTCCATAGCCCGCTTTTCGAGTCTTACACCATGTAGACCCCCAGATGGCCTATGGTCAGTGTAGGATTCCACGTTTTTGTTACACAAGACTAGCCTGCACCCTCAGACTCAGATACCTGCTTCCGTGTTCATGATGTATCCAAGGAAACAGATGCAGAGGGTTTGTGTTGTGGTCCCCATGTCAGCACCTGTTGAGAAAGGGATCACATGACTCTGGAGCCTGCCTGACTGTGACAGGAGCAGCAAGAAAAGATCCATCCAGCTTGGACTCTGAGACACAGGCTGTGAAACCCTAACATGGGACAGAGTATCCCACCCTCTGCATTGCTGGCACATATCCATGTGGAGCTGCCATTTACCCAGGACAGCCTTGAACTTTCCCTTACCCCTCAGCCAACACACTGGTTATTGAGGACTATTTTTGGTGAACTTTCTTCCTGAGCACATCCCTGTGCACTGAAGCATGTGTTGAACTTTGTGCCTTCTTCTCCCTCCCCAGGAGCAACAACAGAAAGCCCACCCACTGTCCAGGTCCTGGGAGAAGACAATATGAGCTCTACCTGTGAGAAAAGACAAAGACAAGGAGACTGAGAAAGGAGCGGTAGTGAGGGACAGAGACAGAGACATTGAGACTGTGATTAAACCCTGGAAAAGAGAATATGGGCACCAGACACAGAAGTTTCAGGGTCATGAAGGGAAGGGTGATGAGATGGAAATACAGGTATTTTCAGGAGAGTTTCCTGGCTCAGCCATGTTCTGAGGCATTGCACTGAGGAAGCGACATGCAGAGACTCATTTTTCAGAGTAAACTTAGGCCTAAGGTCCTCTGAATATCCCCATTCTACAGAGCAAAAAAGACATAGGCTGAATACCAAGTAAAGGACGCTGGAGTCTGTGCTCTTAAAATTTCACTGAAACTTGCTTGGTGGCACTACCTGCAATACCAGCACTCTGGGATAAGGTAGATCGCAAATCCCTGGCTGTGCACTGAATCAAAGTGATGGTCTAAGGCCAAGAGGGAGACACATACACACATTGGGACAGTGACAAGAAACAGGCTTGAGCTCAAAAGGCAGTAAGCACAAAGGGAGGGTGAGGATGGGAGAACTCAGGTCCTTCACCTGGCTTCAGCTCTTGGAGTCCTGGTGCACAGCGATCCTGCTTCTGGCTGGCCTCTGTGGGCTGCTACCTCTCCAGAGTCTTGCCTGGTTTTATGAGGATTGGAATGGAGGCCGGTCTGCCCTGGGGCTACCTGAAATATGAGATCCTGAAGGCATCACTTCTCTGGACACACCTCCTGTGCGTATGCTGCTTGTAATGAGATCAAGGCACAGGGAGTAGTGGGTCTGGGCCCTGCTGAAAGAGGGCTTGTGGCTGGGACTCTGAAGGATGTGACTGCCTGTTGGTGCTCCCTCCAAGCTACTCTTTTGTACTCAGCCTTCCTGGCACATGGAGTTTTTGTTTTGTCTTCCTAGCCTTTATAGCTCTTTCTGAACATTAATTCTACGTTAAACTATGCAAATGTGTATGAAATCAAGGAAATCAGTGTGTGTGTGTGTGTGTGTGTGTGTGTGTGTGTGTGTGTGTGTATTGAATAGAGCATTTTCTCACTGAGCTCATAGAAAAGTGTATTTTTATTTTATATTGACTCAAGCCTTATTAGGTCTCCATATTGCCCAGACTAGGCTCAAAGATCTTCTACATCAATTTCCAAGAGAGCTAGGATTACAGTAATGTGATACCACAGGCAGTGCATTTTATCTAAGAGTCCCAGAGGACCTCACCCCACATTGCAGTCACACGAGATACCTAATTCTTGATATCCCCAAACAGGTTCACATATGCCTTAACCCGAAAGGTATCTGTTCCTTTTGCCTCAAGTCTCTCTGATTCACGTTATTTTCCCTCAAAAATATTTGAGCTATGATTGACCTCATATACCAAAATCTGTTTTTTCTGTCATGGCTCTCAAATTCTGACCTATCTACCATATAACACACACACACACACACACACACACACACACACACACACAGGGTTTTAAGATATGGAGTTATCCATCATCTTCACAATTTGTCTTGTGCCCCTCTTGAATCATTTGTTTCAGGCATTTGCTACCCTGTTTTTCCCCCTTTACTGGTCTTCTTTAGAATCCTGGAAATGGAGAACAACTGCTAACAATGTAGGTATCCTGCCCTTGAGACCCTCCCTGTGTATATGTGCTGTGCCTCATCCCTTTTCCACATGAAGAGATGTCCATGGTTTGTGTGGATCTATTTATTTACCTACTTCCTGGATATCCCATTATTCAACCCTGTTTGACACTGCTTTCATTGCCCAGAGCCCCTTGTAAACTTACACTATGGGATTTGTATTAAAAGGTAGAATTCTGACATCACAACAAGTGTCTCTCATTCATCCCAGGATACATCCATTTCATTGGTTCTGTTTACTATTATATGTATCTCTCAGCTCCCAAAGAGGGCAGAAGATTTTGCCAGTACTGTTCACTGGGTCATCCCAAATCCCTACCTTCATACCAGGCTCTTAGTCTGTGTGCTATTTGCCTGATTGTCTTGTCTCTTCAGTAATCTCTCATATATATTTGTGTGCCTACGGTGTGTTGTTATCATTCTTCTTGGACACTGTGGCTTGCAGTTTATGTTATAGAATAGAGACATGTATTCTAGGGCTTGACTCTGAGTCCTGGAGTCTGTCTCTACCCTCAAGATGGTGCTCTGGACTTAGTGCTTTCTATCTATCTCTGGGCTTGGGAGTTAGAGTCCAGCATGTGAGTCTTGACCACGGGACAGAAAACTCACTGCAGAAGGTCCAGTGACAATTATGGTGGGCTTGTGGGCCAGACACTGTCTGCTGCACTTATTGATTTTTGCTGCCTCTGCATGAAGACAGGGAAATGAGAGCATGTGACTACACTGCATGAAAATGTTACTTATAAGGCTGGGGATATGCCTCAGAAATAGAGCACTTGCCTGGCAAGTAGAAATTCTTGAGTTGAATTACCGGGACCAAAACAAAACAATCAAACAAATAAATATAAGCAATTAATGATTTAGAGAGAGCACATGAAATAGTACTCACTCTGAATGTCACCACCTTTCTGAATCCGTCTGCTAGTAGGACCATGCAGTACAGGAGCATAATGATGAGTCCAGAGCAGACTGCAGCAGTTGCAGCTCATGCCCATGGGCCTCATCTCAGGAAATATGCAGCTCCAGGCCTACAGTCAGAGGGTGGTATCCGACGTCTGAGATGAGAGATAGATCTTTCCTCAGTGCACACCAGGTTCTTGACATCACCACTGAGATTCTCTTTGTGAGACATCATTTGGATGATTATGAGAAGTCATTGGCCATGCCACTGTCTGATGAGGTGTGTGCCCTGCAGTTATAAGAGAAGGTGGGCATAATGTTAGCTTGAGTGGCTGATAATGATAAAGTTGATTATCTGACAAAACAGAAACAAGCAAGATGTTTCTACTGGAGAAATACAAGCAGGTGTGGGTGTGAAGAGGTGCATCATACTGTCACATAGGGGTGAAATGGCTGATTTCTGCCTGGTCATTATCTTGCTCTTGGCTACTTCCATTAGGTTCAAGGTACCTGATCTGAGTGGCAGTTCCATTTGCAGGTGATGACTGTTTTCCCCTGGGGTGTTCCCAGTGAAGCGATGTTATTAACCAAGTAATATTTAACTTTAAGGCCCTGGAGATTTTCTCAGCATAGTTAACATACAAATCCCTTATCCTCATGTGCTGAATCTACAGGCCTGTGAGTGAAGCTGGGGAGAATGAGGGCTAATAAACCTTATTCTGTCAACATTTAGACAAATGTGTCCTCACAGAGGTACTTGCCTTTATGCACACGTGAGAAGGATATAACTCAGAATTTCCCAAAACAAGGATCAAGTTTTCTCTTAATTTTACCTAATCTTTGTTCATCTGCAAACCTGAGTGATCACTCAAAATTCTAATAAAGGTCATTTTCAATTCATCCATTGTCAACGAAGAAAACAAAAAAATGCTTTGGATGAGTATGAGATTAAGAGCTGCATGCATTAAGGGTTGCATGGCCTCTGTGCCTGGGGTCCCCATGTTATTCTCATTCAGATTCACATGTATCTCTACAGATCCTCTGTGGTACCTGCTTTCCTCTCTCTGTGTCTGGGTGATAACTCCTTTGGATTCCTCTTGTATTGCACTGATATTCGCTTCAGCTTCTTGCAATATATCTTTTTTTTCAGAACCAGGGATTGAACTCAGGCCCTTGAGCTTGCTAGGCAAGCTCTTATTCCACTGAGCTATCTCCCCAGCCCCTTTGCAATATATCTTAACAT